ACTGCCACACATGCACACACACACACACACACACACACACACACACGTATGTTAATTTAAACAAATAAACAAACATGCCCAGCAGAGAAAAGAGACCCTGACCCAGAGCAGAGGCAAGAGTGACACGTTAGAAGCCTGACTGATGGATAAAAAATAAAACACTATTTGGGCTGGGGCTGTGGCTCAGTTGGTAGAGTACTTGTTGACATGCATCAAGCCCGGGATTCAATCCCCAGCACCAAATAAGCCTGAAAAGGTGTGACCTGCCTATAATCCCAGCACTCAGGAGGTGGAGGTAGGAGTATTGGAAATTCAAGGACATTCTCAGCTACAAAGCAACTTTGAGGGCCTGTGATACATGAGACCGTCTCAAAAGTGAAGAAACCACCATTCACTGAATTCCTCCAGACCGACTGATTAGCAAGGGCAGCAAAGCCGCTATATAGGTGTGGAGGACCACTGCACAACATGGGAGCACTCACCTACATGCAGGCAATACACACATACACATAAAATAAAATATTTTTTAAAAACTGACAAAATGGGGGTATAGCTCAGTGGTAAAGTGTATGTTTAGCATATACTAACAATTTAAAAAGGATAGGGCTAGGGGTGCAGCTCTGAGGGACAGGTGTTGCCTACCATGCTTGAGGCCCTGGGTTCTAGCCCTAGAACCATGCACACAGAAAACAGATAAATAAATAAAATGAAAAATCAACACCAAGACAAAGGAGACAGTTCAGTGGATAAGAGTGCTGGTTGTTTGGTGTGTGTGTGGGAGAGACACAGACAGGAAAGAGAGTGAGAGACTCACTACGCAGCCCTGGTTGCCCTGAAACTCACAGAGATCCACCTGTCTGCCTCCTGAGTACTAGGATTAAAGCCATACCCCACCATAACTGGCTTTATTTGTTTTTATTTTGTTTTAAAAACATTTTTTTTTCTTAGCAGTACTGAAACTTGCTAGGCAAGCATTCTAAACTGAGCTGTTATGTTCCCAGTTTGGAATTTGAATTCTCTAGCATGCACGTTAAAAAAGCTGGATTTGTGCATGCCTATAACCCTAGCTGTGGGGGGCAGAGACAGGGCAGAGACAGGGGTGCAGTCAATCAGCCTAGCTCCAAGTTCAGTGAGAGACCTTGTCTAAACAGAGCGATACAGTACATCTGCCTCGGTACATGCATAAAACACACACACACACACACACACACATGCACACACTACCTATGTGATCTCATTATGCAAATCTGATCACATGACCTTCTGAAGGTTGCTCAACATTCTCAAGGTAAAGACCAGGTGCTGATGGTACAGCCTCCACAGGCTGGCCCTGTCTGCCTTTCCTGCCTCACCTGCACTATGCGCCTCACAGTGTCCAGCTGCCTGCCTTCTTATGCTACCACAGGGCCTTTGCAAGTGCTTATTTCTGGATTTGCCTTGTCAATGCCTGTCTACACTTTAGATCTCAGCTCAAAAGTTCAGTTCACCTCTATCAGGAAGTCTTTTCTGACTACATCAATTCTAGACTAAGCTCCCAGAACACCTGTAACCAAGAAGGTCTCCTTCCTGTCAAGGTGATAATAGGTGAGAGCCTTTGATTGGCTGGACTGCAGTCTCCAGGAGGGTAGGGATTGCCTGATTTTACTCACCACTGTCTCCCTGGTGTATGTCACACAGCAGGTGCTCCATAAATATTTGCCCAATGAAGGATAAGGACAAACAGGAGCTGATAGAATGGAATGTGGAGTGAGGAAGGGCATGCAAAGCCAGGGGATCAGCAAGTACAAAGGCCTGGGGCCTCCAAGGAAGATTCAAGGAAGGCTGGTTCTCACCAGCAGCCCGACAGGCATAGGCGAAGACAATGATGTCATCAAAGGGCCAAGTGTAGTTGGGATGAGGTGGGTAGAAGGCCAGCTGGGATGTCCCCTCAGCCCGCAGGGACACCAGGAAGGTAGAGTGGACCATGGGGACCTGGAAGCAGCCCCGGCGCTGGCGATTCTTGGTGGGGAAGTAATCAGCAGTGCGGCGGTAGTAGCCCTGGGGAAGGGAATGCTCTGGGCTGAGGCCTGGCCCACTGGCTCCCACCACAGGCTCCCTGCTCTTCAAGTCCCTACTCCCAGACCTCAAGCCTCCTGAGGCCCCACCCAGCCTCACCTGTGGGGTGATCCCACACCAGAAGTTAGAGTAGTAGGTCTGGGAGTCCAGCATTGGGGCCACCACTGGCAGTCCCCGCTCCGTGAGAAGCCGCAGGGTCTGGTTGTTGGTCAGAATGTTGTCTGTGTCTGAGAACTTTGAGAAGGAAGATGTCACAGGTCCCAGTCCTATCCAGGCTTCAGGACTAAAGAGTTCTCTAAATGGGGGGCTGGAGAGACGGCTCAGTGGTTAAGAGCACTGGCTGTTCTTGCAGAAGACTGGGGTTCGATTCCAGAACCTATGTGAGCAGCTAACAACTGTCTGTAACTCCAGTTCCAGGGGATCTGACAGCCTC